GCTTTCAAAAACAATTTTTCAAACACTCTTGAGGACTGATACAAGAGTCGATCTGAAACTTTAAACGAAACTTTTTCAAACCCACTCACACTTGAAAAGAAAAAAAACATTTTGAAAACACAAATGAGCAAGTATCTAAGAGCCCATGGATAACCATGGATAGAAAGGGTGCTAACACCTTCCCTTTCTATAAATCTACCTCCTGAACCGAGAAACTATCTCATAAGGAATTTTGCTGTGCTTTTGTCCTGTCCATGTTGGAGAAAATAAAAGACGGTGGCGACTCTTGCTTCCGCGACATTTCACGAACCAGCTTTAAACAGCCAGTTCTAAATCCACCGATCACGAATACGTTATCAAAAAAATTCTTCTCAATATGCATAACATCAAGATTATGGCGCAACAAATTATCTTTCCAATACGGGAGGTCCCAAAATATACTTCTTTTTCTCCAATTATGTGTGACCCCATATCCTTCAATTCTACATGCTTTGCCAGTATCTGTAAATTTTGGAAGTTTACAAACTTGGTTCCATATAGCAACTGGTGCCAGTCGAGGCGGAGGCAGATCTGTTACCCGTTCGTCCTTTTTGAAATTTGTCTTGTTTTTTCTAAAGGGATGATTTGATGGTAGGAATCTGCGGTGACAGTCAAACCACGAGCTTTTCCCCCCTTTTTCCAATGTAAACGCCTTAGTGCATTCCATGCAATGCGGAAAACCCATTCTACCATGCGTACCCCAACCAGACAACATGCCATATGCTGGAAAGTCGTTAATGGTCCACATCAAGGCAGCTCACATAGAAAATTTTTGTTTACGGGATATATCATAAGTCCATTCTCCATTATTCCACAACCTCTTCAAATCATCAATTAAAGGTTGTAAGTACACATCAATTCCGGTTTTTGGACTCGACGGTCCTGGAATGACGCACGTCAAAAACATGTATGGTTTTGTCATGCACATCTCAGGAGGGAGATTGTAAGGGGTTACAATAACTGGCCAACAAGAATACGCACTTCCGGACGCTTGGACATATGGAGCAAAACCATCAGAGCATAATCCAAGCCTGACATTTCTAGGTTCAGCAGCAAAATCAGGATGTACCTCATCAAAGTGCTTCCATGCATGGCCGTCAGATGGGTGTCGCATATTGCCTGGGCTTGTTTTGTTTGTATGATGCCATGTCATTTGACTTGCACTGTGCATTGAAGAAAACATTCTTTTTAACCTTGGTATTATCGGAAGATAAAACATGGACTTTACTGCTACCCGTTTTTGGTTACTGTTAATGGCTCTATTGCGAACTTTATATCTTGGACTATGACAAAACTTACATTCCTCTGACGATCCATCTTGAGTACCAAACTCGTTGTCATAAAACAACATACAACCATTAGTGCAACAATCAATCTTTCTTACTCTTAAACCCAACTTCGACACCAACTTCTTTGCATCATAGAAACTCGCAGGCAAGTTGTCTTTCGTTGCAGTTGAGTCCAACATCATTTTTACGAAGTGCTCCAAACACTGATCAGGAACATTCCAATTTGACTTGGCGCCCAATAATCTAACACACATTGATAGCTTTGAGTCTGACGACTCCTCAAACAACGGCGTATTCATCTCATTCAACAACTGATAAAATCTCTGCGCTTCCTCATTCGGCAACTCTTCCCCGTTAAAGTCTTCAGGTTGATCATAGGTCACGTTAACACCAAAAGCATCACCAACCATGTCACCTATCAGATTAAAGTTTTCTTCAAATTCCATAGGTGGTTGCATAACCGGTTGACTACTTGAAGCATCTGTGTTGCTAGTCTCTGGTACATTACTCGGCAGTGTTTCACCATGATGCGTCCAAACCCAATAATTTTCAATGAAACCTTTCCTATGCAAATGACGTGTTATTTCCTCTGGGTCACTAATTATATATCTACATCCACATTTAAGACAATGACACCTAACTCCTCCTTCACTTTGACAACGTTCCCGGGCAAACGTCCACGCGATAAAACCATTAACCCCGTCTATAAAATTGGGTTTAAGTGCGCGTCTTCCTGGATATAGTCTATCGTACATCCAACTACGATAATACATATAATATTCCATTTACTGCAAATTTATATAATCAAAACCTATTTAATTAGAAATATTAATTAATCAACTTAATAATAATCCTAAACATATACAATTAAAGATAAATATATGCTTTCAACAATATTTATTAACTCCTAAAAATATTTTTAAACACTTAAAATTTAATTTAAACACCTAAATTTTATAAACTCCTAAAAATTTAAAAACTAATTAAACTCCTAAAAATTTAATTTAAACACTTAAAATTTATAAATTCCTAAAAATATTTATTTATTTTTAAACACTTAAAATTTAATTTAAACACCTAAATTTTATAAACTCCTAAAAATTTAAAAACTTATTAAACTCCTAAAAATTTAATTTAAACACTAAAAGTTTATAAACTCCTAAAAATAAAAAAACTTAAACTCCTAAAATAATTAAACTCATTCATCATCACAAATTAATAATTAATAATTATTATAAACTAAATAATTAAACCTAACATTTAACTCAAATACAGAATATATATATATAATCTAAATTCAACAATTTTAACCCAATGCAAATTAATCAAAATCAGAAAATATACTAATTCAAAAAAAAAAAATTCAAGACATACCTTTTATCTTGTAACTCCTTCAATCTTCTTGTCCCTTTTTGCAATCTATACTTCAATCTTCTTCTTGTCCTTCAAAGAAAAATTGAAAAAAATTTATACTCAAAATAACACATCAAAAGCTATTAACAAAGTATATAAAACATGAAATTGAAATTACCTTACAAAATGGATGAAGATGGTAGGAATTAAAGAGTGGAGAAGAAAATTTTTTGGGGAAGAAAATGGGTATGGTTGAAGAGTGGGGAAGAAAATTTTTTGTGAAGGTTGAAGATGAAGAAGTGATAGAAACATAAACGTTGTGGAACGTTTTCATAAGTTACATAAACCACGTAGCGACGTGAAAATCACGCCGCAACGTTGCCACGTGATTTTCACGTCGCAACAAATTTCAAACTGTTTTCTCTTCCTTCAAAGCCTGCACACGCCAGTGTTGGAAGTTGTGATTGAATTAAATTTTGTGATATTTTAATTAGCGACGTGAATCCCACGTCGCTACTTTTTTTAACAAAGAAACGTAACTGACACACTTAATGTAGCTGTTTTATATTATTAAAACACGTTGCCACGTGATTTTCACGTCGCAACTGGTTTTATTTAGCCACATGAAAATCACGTGGCAAATTCACGTGGCTGTGGAAGCTTTTTCTTGTAGTGTTAAGATAAGATTAATAAATTTATATGTAATAATTATTCAATAAAATCACTTAAAAAAATTCTTATAAACGCAACCAACTGATCATCACTATTATTACTCTTAAAGTTTATAAACTCGTAATAATTAGTCAATATAAAAACACTAAAAAGTAATATTTTACAAACCAAACCAACAATTCTTTTAACTGAAACGTACATCGCGCGTGGATTAGTTAATTATTCTCAATTGCATTTTAGATTATTAAATTATCATTTTCTCATAAAATTGAAGAGTTTGCACAAAAAATCAAAATATGAAAATCGAAAAATTGCAGTTATAAAATATCACACATAAATAAAAATAAAGACTAATTTTTTTTCTTCAGAAACATAAATAAATGGTACATTTTCTTCAAAAATAAACTATATTAATTATTTATGATATTTATGTATGGTTAAATATGATTTTAATCCTTACAAAAATACTAGTTTTTAATTTTTTTTATCTTAATTTTTCTTTTAACATGAGTTAAATACTGTTTAATTCAAATTTGAAAAAATTTGCATTTTGTTATTATGTTATCAGGGTTCAACGTTATAAACTCTCCAAAACACAGAAAGAATGAATCTCCGAACTCCATCTCACTCGCAGCTTAATCACATAGCGTCAATATCGTCGGCGTTCGTTCCCGATGAACTCGTTACAGATGTGTTAAATAACTGTTTTTGTTTTTCTCACAATTTCAAACAAACTCATTTGGTCATATGGCAAATGAAGGAATTTGGAGTGGAAGACTCTTGGACTCAATTCCTCAAAATTAGTTATAATAATCTCCAAATATATTATCCATTAAATGGACTCAACCTTTGTTTATTACCATTATGTTATTCGGAGAAGAATGATACACTATTATTGACAAACGAAAATAGAGGATCATTTCTCTATAACCGGAGAGATAATAGACTAGAGAAAATTCATGGCCCTTGGTTGTACACTTGGCCAGCGTTAAAGGTCAAACACAGTCCAATGAAAAGAGTCTTCATGTGGCCCAAGTGAAAGACAAAAGAGTTCCGAAGACTCCAAAGTGGGAGGAAGTCTATAAGAAGCACTAGACTAAAAGAATGATGATGCTTGCTTAGTTAATAGAATAATTCTAGCAGCTCGGTTGGTACAGTTAAAGCAACGTTGTTTCCTAAAACGGAAGAATAATTCATACATTGGTTCACTTGCACATGATATATACAACTTACAAGGCAGAATATTCTACAAGCTAACTACTAATAACCAATTACAGTAAGTAAGAATATACTATAATATTGAAACACCTTTTTATTTACATCTACAAATTGCATATTAAGTTATGGTTTTTAATTGCAAGCCTTTCAATTTCTAACTTTCAAATAGATGCATTGTGTGCATTAGGGCAAAATATTGAACGAATCCAAATAAGAACGTTTATGAGAAAATGATCATTCAAGTAACTTAAACTGTCTTATTACTTGTAATAAAAATAAGGAAAATAAACTCATTTGATTCAAAGATAGCCAAACCGTTTACAATAGCCAATAACATAATCTGAATCTCTCAACAATACAATCAAATCAAAAACATGATAAGACAACATATATTATTAACCAAATTCAAACAAGGTAGGAAACATACTTTCAACAATACCAAACCAAACTTTCAACATAATTCTTGGAATTGAACTGCCAACATTTATTGATTGCCTTAGCTCTATTATCTCTCCAAGTATAGATAATCATCTGACTTTGATATTTGTCTATCAATAACAGTGTATCATTCTTCTCCAAAAGGCATAATGGCAACAACGGAAAAAGATCGTATATTTGAAGATTATTATAACTAATTTTGAGGATTTGAGTCCAAGAGTCTTCAACTCTAAACTCCTTCATTTGCCATATAACAAGATGAGTTAGTCTGAAATCACAAGAAAAACAAAGACAATCATTTAACATACTTAGATTTGGATCGATCATTGACCCGTCATCAAAATCTTGAGGGGGTAGAAATTGAGTATGTGTCTCTGTGCTCAAATCAAGTGAAATAATTGTCCTTTTACCGGTGTGATTGTCGACTGCCAACCAAATGAAGCTACCACTAAAAGTAACAACATTCCTCATGGCATCATGATCCAGAGGAGAATTTTGAATATTTCTCCAAACATTATGGCCCAAACTAAAAACTCTCACATCTGTTCTCCTTGAAAGGAAACAAGCGACCTTATAAGTGTCTGTTGAATCATCATAAGCAAATTCCAAATTAGGAGGATAACGAGAGTCGTATTGGCTAAAATATCCTATTTTATCTGATATATTTCTCGTGGCAGGATTCCAAAAACGAAGATACTTACAGGCAATGATGTGAGAATCACCTAACAAGCAGAGCAAACCATTGCAGGAACCAACCATATAGAGGTTGTCCCTATCATTCAATTGATGGTAATGACCATTGGTAACAGTGGTAGTGGTTGGAGGATTCTCCAACAAATGAAAAGTTGTGAAAGATATCTCACCCAAGGAAGAAGATACAATTGTGAAGTCCACGTTTCGTTCAGATCGACTAAGGTGTCGTTTGACAAAGGTGGGATCAGAGATGAGTGACTTCCATGACTTATTGACGCATTTCAGTCTAACAAGTGATTTGACGGGAAGAAAGGGAAGAACTTCGGCGACAAGTTCTTCGGGGAGGAATACCGGCGACGGTGAGACGCTGCGAGGACGGAGATTCATGTGAACGTTTAGAAAATTGGCAGCTAAAAAGTTGAACCCTAAAAAACGACTGAATTAAAAAAAAATGTAGGTATCGTGGCTTTACTGATAGTATTATTAGTTGCTATTTTTTTGGCTTAACTTTAGCATTGTTGAAACAAATACCCTAGCAAATACGCAGATAACTAATTAACTAATTCAAAGCAATTTTATATTCAAATTCAAATTATTTTTCACTCTTCACTTGTTTCAAATTTCACTTTATTCTACCTCCTATAGTCGGTTTCAAAATTTTCTTTATTTTTCATCTTCTCTCATATTCTTTCATTTTAATTTTAATATTCTCTCATTCAACTTTTTTTAACCACTGCTGGTTTTTTTTCTAGGAGAATGGGGAACCTTTCAAACTTCTCCGGTGAAAAAATATCCTATCATCATCTCTTATATACTATATATATTTATTTATTAATTTATTCTTATAAAATAAATATATACTATTTTTCTTATAATAGAGAGTGTCTAAACCCAAAAGAAAAAGATTAGACCGCTATAAATCTAGGAATAGCAAAACTCAGAATATCTCTAACATAAATTTTTTGGACTTTTAAGGGACAGTCTTCGAAAAACCTAAGAGATAAATCGAAGGTGTATCTCAATTTTGCCAGCACATTCGCACACCGGTTTGTCTCACGGAAAACGTGAATAATATCTATCTTTCAATTCCTATTCATTCAGGCTCTAATTTGATTCACCAACTAGTAACTACGAGACAATTTTATTCGCCCTGTTTTAATCGCATTTACGACCATTATCGAATCTGAATTATTCTCAACAACCGTGAATCCCATCTGCCATGCTAACTTTTTCCATTAAAAAAACCCCACAATTTTGCCTCAATAACACTACATCTCCCGATACCACAAGCAAAACCACCAAGCCACTCTCCTTGACTTGCCCTAATAACGCCTCCACATCCCGCAATACTATCCTCATTCAAACATCATCCGTGTTTAATTTAACACATTTTAAAATAGGTGGAATCCATCGTATCATTCTCAACACACGAATGTGTTCCATTACAATTTTATTTGCTACCACCGCTTTCTCATAATCATCTTTAAGCCGTATGATAAACGAAATTGGATCCATAGGCCGCACAAAATTATCCTCATGTAATTCTTTATTTCTCCAAGTCCAAACACAATGACAAGCAATAACCCAAACATCACGCAAACACCGTCCTTCTCTCCATCTTTCGTTGTTTTTTATATTATCCAACAACCACCCCTCCATATCTCTCATAAAGAACATTCCTCTTTGTTGTACCCCAAAATTTGCTCTCTCATTCCTCAAGAATTTTCTCACAAGAATCTCCCATGACTCAAGCTTGCAGCACTGATACATCAATTTAAGTTTGGAATTGACATAAGGGCAAAATGGTCAAAATGCACACTGAAAAGTCAAACTTTGACTTTGGGATCAAAATCAAGTTTCAAGAATCATATTTCATCAAGACATGATAGAATGTGAAGTTTGTTTCATCAAGAAAATCAAAAGTCAAATTTGCTTTGGAAAAGTCAAAGTTTTAAACACTTAGAAAATTTTCTAAATGTTAAGAAAATATGATAAGTTCAGAACTTCTGGTCAGATTTTCATCATAATGCAAGATGATTCAGGAAGAACTTCTGACACAAGAGCTGTAGATCTCAACGAGATCTAAAACATTACAGAACAGAACTTCTCCTATAAATGTTGGGATTTCAAGTTATAGGTCTTTGAAAACACGTCCATGAAACTAAAACATTAAGTAAATTCTGAGTATTTCCAAGATAAAATTTGGTTAGAACTTTTGAGCCAGTTTTCACGTAGGTTCAATCAGAGTTTGCTAAGATGATTCAAAGAGAGGTTACAAAGTATGTTACAAGCTTTCTGAAAAGTCTGAGAACTCTTTCAGATCATGCTGGAATAGGAAGACTTAAAGATCATAAGTTGGATGTTTGTTCTTAATTTAAGTTATGTTTATGCTAAACTTCTGATCCAATTTCAAGCTATGATGCATAATCTCATGTTGCAGGTTTTCTGGTTTGTTAAATCTCATCACCATTTAATGCTCACACCTACTTTTGAGTCGTTATCTAAAGGATTTTCCCACGTGTGGCATAGAAGTACCATTGCTGTCCTTGGAAAGTAAACTTTTGTACAAAGTTTATGTTGGGCCCATGCCTTACTTTTGCTTCTGAATGTACTTTTCCACAAATCATGCCTACAAAATCAGATTAGGCACAGCTAAAAGCTGATAACCGCTCTATTTTTCCTTGAACCATACTTGTCCAAACTTGCTTCAAGAACAAGTCAACGCCATAACATATGATGGTTGTACTCTTGACTTCTCCAAGCTCCTAAATCCTCTGCCTATAAATTGAAATTCATTTGCAACTGTTAAGGAGGTGGAAAATTGGAGAAAAAGCCTTGAAACCTTGCTGGAATTTCCCCAGAATTTGAAACTGCAAACATAAACACAAAACCTGCTAGTTCTCTGATTTCTGCATTCAAACTCCAGTTTTTCTTGTGTGTTTTTGAACCTAATCATCCATACAGTTTCTAGAATACACATAGAAGCTTCCCCAACCTCTATTTTCAAACTGTAAAATAGCATTTACCACTCTCTGTTTCAAAAAACCAAAATTTTGCACCTTGACTGCACCAGAACTTTCCCATCATTCATAGCTCAAGCTAAGAGTTGTTTCAGCTTTCTGAGAACTTGAGGAAGCTGATCAGAACATCACAGTAACCCGAACCAGGCTCTAATTCACAGAACAATTTCCAGTTGCAAGGTAAGTTTCTTCTGGTTTTTGTCTCATTATTTTGGTTGTTAGACTTACATTTCCAAAGATACAATGTAGACATCATGACTCTGATTCTGTACATATTTATGAATTTCATGTATTTTGCCTAAGTAGAGAGAGTTTCAGATCAGAACTTCTTGAGGAAGTTAGGTTTCAGAATTAGAATTATCCAAATTCATGCTTGCTTCTGATTTACAGTTTTGATGCTGCATATTTCTGAAACCATGATGAAACCTGCCATAACTGCTATGTTTTTTTTCTTTTTTTTTGGAGAAATAACTAAGTTGCAGATGCTCTGGCTGGTGTGGAGAAGAAGATCAAGTTCATCATCAGAACTTACCTTGTAATATATGTTTATGTTTTCGTTTCTAATACCGGATGTATGGCCACCCCAGTGGTAGTGAGTGAGCGTACAAGACATTAGTGTTAAGGGTCCTGAGTTCTAGCCCCAAAAACACCTTCTAGGATTTCCTTTGTTCCCAGCAACCCCAGAACTTTAGTGCACCCAGATCCAGAACTTCTGGCCTTCCCCATTTCTGCTAACATTTTCTTTCTGATTTGCAGCGCATCAGAGTTAGAACTTCTGCTCCTTATTTCTCTCCTTTCAACTTTTGCATACATTTTGTAAAGGTTATGTTATAATGTATATATTATGTTATCATATAAATATCATTGATGTTAATTTATTTTATCTCATTTTTGTAGGTATTCAAGCATTGATATTTAAGCATAGTTAGATAGATCATTGAATAAGCTTTCCAACGCTTCCGATTGTGTGCAAATGATAGTTACGATTCTCAAGTTATAGCTGAAATTGTGCTAGGTTTTCAACTTACTGTCATATGTCGCCCTGAGCTCGCCGGGTGATGCTGGGGAAACCAGAAGCATGGAAAAAACGCATTCTGAGCATCGGTCAATGCTTTTTAGTCGTCGAGCGATGCTGACTAGTCAGAAATGCATATTTAGGGGTAAAAGCACATTTTTTAGGGATGGTTTTGGGTATTTTTGATCCCAACTCCACCAACCTTTTTCTTATAGGATTAGCTTAGAAAAAAACGTTGAAGCTTGCATACGGATGATCCGAGATGGATTTCTCTTTGATCAGCGCTAACAAATAAGTAGATTTATGGTTCATTTCTCTTCTTCTCTATGTATTCTTCATGTGTTGATTTTGTATATGTATTTACTTTAAACTCATGTATATTTTTCGCCCATGGCATTGTATAAAACTTGCTTTACAAATCTTTGTCGAGTTTTGTCCTGGATTTTTGCTCTATGCTTGGGGTTTGGGTTGTTATAGACATATACTACTTGAACTCTTATTTAAGATGATTGTCTAATAGTTTCTAGATTCTATAGATAGATTTAGTGCTATTATTCACTTGGGTGTCTGTGATCAATGTCTCTGGGTTGGTTTTATCGTGTTGAGAGATCGTCGACGCGACTAGGACGGTTGACTTATGTGTTGTTGAGGTTGGTTGAGAGATCACCACTGAGATGACATAGTGAGTGTTATGTTTCACACATGATGATATTGATGAGTATTGAAAGTTGAGTATAACTGGTCGATATGTTTAAGTTTGTGAGGAGTGAATTATATATGCATGCCTGATAAGTTCTTCCTCTGAAGAATGAATTTATTACTTGTTCATAACTTTTAATTCCTGCACCTTTTACTTTAAACCCATTTTAACCCAAACTCGTAACCGCGAGAAATTATCGAACGATAATTTAGTAGCACTAATCCCCGTGGAGACGATACAATATAACCTATATCACCCTATAAAAATACTTTTTTTTGCTTGTTGCTTTACCGCTTCAGCAAAACGACATTGTTGTCGGGGATTGGTGTTTTTATTGTTTCGCATTGCGATAATTTCTTTTTTTGCGAGTTTTGTACATAATGTATATATTGTCTATAATGTGTTAATATAAACTTGTTTATATTGATTCTTGTGTATGTTTACCAAACTTGTAAATTTTACATGTTTTACATATTTGTGAATATTGTGTATATGTTTTTTTCTCTTAACGTTTGCTAAGTGTTTGGTTAGGTTTCGCCGTTGGTGTGCGCTAACCGTGTAAAGAGGTAACTTGGAGAAGTGACTATAAATAACAGGCGTCGAGCTTATGACGTAAAACAAGCATTTTTTTTTTCATTTTGTTAGTTTAGGT